AAATTTTAGATAACGAAATTATTTCCATCTCAATTCTCTCGACTGTTATAAAACAGGAAGTATATATGTATTGAATAAATTAAATTGAAAGAAAAAAAATAAATATTTGATTGTAAAATTAAAACAAAAGAGTACCAGAATGATGAAATTAATCAACTTTTTACCAACTAACATTTTCAAAATAACTAAAAAAATTAACCTCCTATTTGTACTCACATATATCTTAAATTCTAAAAAATGAAAAACTTTTTAAATGAAAAGTAAAATTTAAACTTTTTTTTCTTTGCACATACAAAAAATGAATCAATCAATCGACGATAAATGCTTTTCTTTGTTCACATACATCACTTTTTTTAAAAATGGAAAAATCAAAAAGTAATAATCTAAGACTTTTTTTTTTTTCTACACACATACACAAAAAAGAATAAATGAATGGAATCAACAATAGATGGTAATGTGAGAGTGAATAATGAATTGAATATACGAAATTCGAACTAAACCACCGAAGAAGCAATCCACTGCTACCATTCTCTCATTTTTTAAACAACTGAAAAGCAATCGGTTTGTGTCCGTCCATTCATTCATTCAAATTCCTTTCCGTCTATCCATCCGGTTTTTCTGTCCCGATTGAGGAAGTGGATTGATATTAATGATAGTGATTGGTGGAATGTCGATGTTAGCAGTGCCTGTATTGATTTCAAAATTGCCAAATGATAATGTATAGAAGAAATTTAAAGAATGGCGAAGTTAAAGATAGAAAGAAAAGTAAGATGAAATATTAAAATTAAACAGAAGTATGGTATCATGGCGTCAATTTATCCATAACAATTCCATTCGTACAATTATATGTATTTCTTTATCATCCTATCTTTTTACTAATAATTTATTCAATTGCTCAATTATCATATATTTTATTAAAAAATTCTCTCCATTTGATCAAATGGTATCATTAACAAATTAGCTATTAATTAACCTTACATATCAATCATACTTCGATACGTATATATCACTGTCATTAGTATCCGATGATTATTATCACATGAATGTAAATTGGAAGATATGAGGATTGAAGAGAAGAAATTAATTAAACAACTGTATGAAAGAATTCGGCACTAATTTATGATGGCAATGCTCGATGGATGTAAATCGAAAACGATAAAATTAAGACTGAACAAATGTTATTCGTGAAAAGAGGATCAACTTCGATAAAATTTCTCATCAATATCAAATCATATCAGTCAAGATCAAAATAGTCTTTTTTTCTCAATGAAATCCACAATTATATCAGTGAAAAATGTTGCTTCCAATTTAAAAAAAAAAAAAAAGACATAGCTTATGTATCGATTAGTTGAAATGTGTTTTAACGTTATGAATAAATTTCCATATTTTATTTTATAATCAATAAAAACGTCAAAACAGCACCACAACTATAATCTTTTGCTGGAAATATTATGAAATTAAGCTATCATTGGTGTAATTAATAACAAAGACGAAATAATCGTTGTTCTATTATCATTGCATTTGACCCCAAAGGTCAACTTAGAGTTATTCTCATAAAGCTAAAAAAAAAAGAACTACTGCTTTGCGCATTTAAAATGAAATACCAACTGATGTTATCAATACTTGGAATATTGGCCAAAAATAACACATCAAAATGAGGTACTTGAGTATTTATACATTTCTATTCAATTCATTTCAAAATTTTACAAATATTAATTCTTACTAAATTCCGTAAATAAATTATACTTCCGCACGCACATAGATCATTTCCTGTTTCTTGATTTCTTTTTTTTTTTTTTTGCTAACAGAAAAAAAAAAGCAAAATAAACATATTGCAATCAGTGCTGCTAGTAATGTCAACAATGAATGATTCATTCAGATCATTACTGCAAACGAATGATTCAGATCATTGTTACATAGATTCAAATTAATATTGCAAATAAATGATTCAGATCATTGTTGCAAATGAAAGATCGAGATCAATATTGCAAACGAATTAATGCAGATCACTGTTACAAATGGATCATTTAGATTATTGTCATCAAATTAATGGTTCAGATTATTGCTATAGCTATCAATTGAGAGAAAAAAAAAAATAAAAACTATCAATGAAAAAATAAACGAATACTCAGGCAACATGTTCCTTCCGTATCCTTTTTCAGGCACTCATTAATTAAAACTGTGCCTATTAGTGAAACTCTATGCTGAATTGAAAATATCAATTAAATATTTGCACTAAACAGAAATTGATCCATAGTTCATTGTTCGTTTTAGAGAAATAAAAATTTCTTCAAAAAATCAGATCCAATATGGGATGTTCAACA